AAGATGAGAAGAAGAGGCCTTTGCTAGGGGAACCCTTGATATACCGGAGAATACGATTGGTAGCTGTCATGTGAAGTTCAGTGGGAGAAGAAACAAATTGACTTAGCTGATGTACTGCAAAGGATAAGTCGGGTCGAGTATTGGAGAAGAAACAAGTTTAGTATGCATGTATCTACTGCAAGGTTTTCTCTCTGTATAGAAATAAAAATAAGTTCTTAGAAAATATCTGACTGAATATTAATATACATTTAAAATTGAGATTGAAAAAAATTAAAAAAAATATGAAATGAAATTAAGTAATATTAAAAATTTATAAAATATAATTAATTTTTAAATTTTAATTATTTTTTATTTTTAAATAACAGATTGACCTACCATAAAACGGAATGAGTTAAATTTTTGAACCCACGTTCAAAAGCTGGCCAACCTGTCCAGCCCCATTTTTGGTGGATTGGTGGCATATCAGAGCATGCCAATCCATACTTCTATTGCAAACAATATCCCCATTCTAATAACGTTGCATTTTTTTTCCTAACAATCTTTTACATCACGATTTTTATGTGTGTCATTTTAATCCCAATGTTCCATTTTGGGAAAATGGTAAGTTGGTAACTGTTGAACCCAGCTCAACCTTCACAATATTTTAGGATTATAAAGAAGCATTTGGTAGAGGAAAAATAAAATTTATCTAAAAATCACAATTCCAAAGAATATGATGGAAAAATGAGTTTTCCTGTAATGTTATCTAAAAATTGTTTGGTAGGTCAAAATATTCACGAAAATATTAGGTTAATTTTCTTGATATTATGTTTGGTTGATTGTAAAATATGGAGAAATATATATTTACCACTAAAAAAGTTTACAATTTCTACAACTAACCTAATCACCATTGATTTCTGTCAATCTAACGGTTATAATTTATTAGAAATTATTGGGCCGTATTTATTAATTAATTATTAATTCTCATAAATTATAACCGTTAGATTGACAGAAATCAACAGTGATTAGATTGTTTGTAAATGTGGTAAAAAAAATTTAGTGGTAAGTATATCCTTCCCCGTAAAATATTGCTAAAAATGTGGATTGATGTTAATTATGTCCCAAAAAAATTATTAAATATTCACATCACATTAAATTCTCAAAATACCACCTATTTGGTGGTATTTTAAGATATAATTTTTTTATCATAAACATGAATCCTGAGAATTCGACTTTTTTGAAATTTTTTTTACAATCCTCATATTAATAGTGAGTAAATCGAATTCTCAATCTCATTTTTATATGATTTCAAAATATTATCTTCTACCAAACACTCTGTAAATGTTGTTATGATACAAATTCACTTTCATTATTGTAAAAACAAATTTTCACCTTATAGTAAATATTTTAAATGTTTTTCAAATAGATAAAACCATAGGATTCATTCATGGTGTAAAATGCACAAACTAGCAATTAATTAAAGCTAATCTTCATCCGAACTTGGGGTTTATATATCTGGAAATTATAAATATATTAATTGGTGACAAAAAGCAATGAATATGGGAATACAAAACGAACCTTTGAAAGTGGCATATATATATTAACATAAAATTAGGGATTTACTAGTGCGAGAAGAAATGAGTTATACTTCGTATGGAGATCACACCAAAGAATATTTCTTATTCGCAAGCATATTCGAATGTCATTAATAATCTATTATTGCCACCTTAAAGACATGTATTTTTTTTTTTTTTTGGGTAAAAAAAGACATGTGATTTTAACTTATTCTTGACTTTTCCTTTTTCTTTTGTTTTTCAGCAATCTATTTAAGCATGAAATAATACAGTTATATATCTAAAACTCAAACCATTATCTCTCTTTTGGAGCTCAATCTTTTTTACAATATATTTTCAATTTAAAGATGATAAGAGATTAAATTATGACTCACTTGTTATGCAATTAGGGGAGTGACAAGAGACCATTATTAATAGGCTAAGCCACCATCCATCATAATAACTGAATTCAACATCACCTATTACTTCAAAATTTTAAAGCATTGGATCCTTCTATTTATATGATATTCACTAAATCTATTCTTAGTAAATAATGTGGAATTTTGTATTTGCACTTGGATTCGGGATATCAATTGCTACATGTAAAAAAAAATAAAAAAAATTAGTCAACAAATCCGTATACATTTAATCAACTCTATAAGGGTCATGTTGTCATGTCTGAAAATTTAGAAATGAAAACTATTGTTGCTAAATAATAAAAAGCCAATTAAACACAAAATGTTTTGATTATCACAGAATAAAAAAATATAACAAACAAAAGAGAAAGACAAGAGGGAAAAGATACCTTATTTTAAAAAAATAATGGTGCAACGCAGCCAAACTTTGTTATTAAATATGTGAGGTGTTTAAAAAATATTATGCTATTCTTATACATTCAATAAACAATTTTTTGGTAAATACTAAAATTTTATTTTAAATTAATTTTCAGTTTATAATATTCTACATTGTTATTCAATAACACATTATTTAATGAGTTCTTACTTATTTATCATCATAATATTAAATTTTTTCAACAACAACAAATCAAAACTATTTATTTCAATATACACACTTCAGTTGTAATTTAATCTTGGAAAAACTTCAAAAAATTTCCTAAAAGTTTCCTCAAAATCACTTAACTCCCTTCCCGAAATTTTTAATCATTTATCTCCTTACTTAAAATTTCTTTATCAAATTAGGAGATAAATGATAAAGAAATTTTAAGTAAGAAGATAAATAATTAAAAAATTTAGAGAGAGTTAAGTGATTTTGAGGAAACTTATAAGGGAGTATTTGAAGTTTTCCCTTTAATTTTCAAACATCACATCGTGTTTCAATTTCTGTTTGAGCATAAACATTTACCGGTATCATAATGTAGTTTTAGTTAAGCTTTTGCATTACAGGAAAAATTCATGTAAAGTTGTAATATCTAAATTTATAAACATATAAAATTTATCTTAAATCTCATTGAAATGATAACAAAATAAATCAAAGTAGCACATCTCTTAATATACATCACATTATATGATATCACAAAATATTGCTCTTTTCAGTATTCCGACGAGTCCACATTATAAAATTGTAAACGAACATGGGCGGATACATTTATTTATCATGATAATAAGTATAAAATAATGAATGAGAGTTTCAGAATAAATGATTGGCCATGTGGTTGGGTATATGACCGAGAAGTAGCTGCTGATTGGTGGCAACAAGCAGGTACACAATTTGAGACTATCCACACTCACACACCACCCAATAGAAAGAGAGAGGCGACATCCTCAGATTCAAGTTTGTTCATTGAATAAATAAAATCAATTACAATAAATAAATAAAATCAATTATTCAGCTGTTGATAAATAATTAAATAATAGATAATAAAAAAATCAATTGTTTATTGGAGTGTAGCTGAAACAGGTCTAAACCCAAAATAAACAATTAGTATAGAAATTGTGGTCTCTGATCCAACGCAAAGCTGTTCCGTACACGATACTCACATTGATGCAGATTGGGATATGCAACAAGGATCAGAAGAGATCCTAAGTTGAAGAAAAGTGTTTATTTTCATAATTTATTGTATAATTTTTCAAAACTTCTTAAAATCATGCTCGTTTCAATTGACTAATTAATAAAAAAACAAAAAGGAAACCGTGATGATGGTAGGGGTGTAAATGGGCCACCCAACCCAGCCTATGACCCGACTTACATTGAGCCCGGCCCAGGTCCGACCTTTCAGAAAAGTAGAGTAGGCTTAGACTTATAATTTTTTTTTTTTTAAGAAATAGGCCATAGGCCAATTTTGTCAAACCCGGCCTACAGCCTTGTAGGCTGGCCTATTTAATTTATTAAAATAAGATAATAAAATAATATTTATTTTATGTGGCAAAGACGCAAAGTACCAAATATCAATATCTCTTACTTTTTGTGCTATTTTATTTTATGAAAGGAAAGCTTGTCTAATGTCTCCAAATTTCACATGCTGTTGCAGCTTAATATCATGGAGTAATGGATACCTTGCTGGATTATGATGTTACTGATGAAGATCTTTTAATAATACTCTTCTTTTCCTTGTCTTGAGGGTGGTTTAAAAGATTTTTAGATAAATGACATTCTCTTGTAGACTTTATTTCAGCATCTGGTAATTATATTTTTCTTATTTTCTTCATTTCTTTGACTCTATTCCTCTGTGATATACATTCTAGAGCTGAGTATTATGTTGACTCTTTCTTGTTTGTCATTTTTTTCTTATGAGCAGTACTAGTGCATGCATGAATGGAACTTTTTTTGCTCTATACAATTATTTTTTTTGCTTAGAATCTACGGTGGGAGGCTTACAAGGCTGTAGGCCATGTCAGACTTTCTTATTTTTAAAAAATGGGCCGAGCTTGGCTTACATATAAAGCCTTTGATAGGCTAGATAGCCTGAATTTTTTTGACGTAAGCTAGGGCCAAAAAGGCCAAAGCCCAGCCCATTTACAACCCTACGTGATGGCACGATCATTTTTTTTTCACAAAAGGTAAATTACACAATCATGTATATAGAAATTTTCTAGGCGCTCTATTTTATATTAAAAATTACAATAAAATATTTTACCAAATAAGAAAATATCGGAAAGCCAGTTGTATAAACAAAGTTAGGTATGAAACTAAGTTGAACTTGATCTAACAAGAAAAGAAAAGAATCAAACCAATTTACAGCATACGGCACCTAAAGGAAAAAAATAAGAGAAGCCAAAAAGGAATACGTGGGTTCATTAAAAACAAACAGGTTACGTCTTATCAAAACACAAGATAAGAGATATGCTGCTTGTACGTATATATAGGGTAAGAGTCCGAATTTCAAAATCTGTTTCAAGGTTTTCGAGTCATGTGTGTGTTGTTCAATTTCATTTTATTATAGATTTATATACAAACCCAAAAAAAATACATACGGCGCAAAACCAGCGCGTATTTAGTATTTATTGATTTTAACAATTTACTTTTTAATATTTTAATTAAAGCCACCTAACACGCTTTTTTTTTTCTCTCCCTCTCTTTCTTTCTTTCCCTGTCACAAGTCTCTGTTGTTTCGTTGTCTGATCTCTCTCTCTTTCTCAATCAGAGAATAACCGGCGAGCTTAATCTCGCCGGAAAATTGCCCTACGCTGGCCGGAATCTCCATTTTCTGATTTGAGTTCCGAATTGCGGTTCCTTTCTCTTTCTAGCAAGTTTTCTTGCCAGTGTTCGGGTCCCTAGAAATAATCAAAAAGGAAAAAAAATAAAAAAAATAAATTCTGCGTCTGCACCTGTCATGCTTTTCTTCTATTATTGTGGGATGCGATTATCAAGAAAGCAATGCTAAGAGAGGAGATGAGGTTTTTGAACAATATCTGAGATCCCCTAATTCTGAATTCTTTATGCTGTAAACCTCCTACAAGATTCAATATTTTTCCTTGTTTTTTTTTCTGTCTCTTTATTCTCAAGTTGCCTATGAGAAGTTTGTTGAATTCTGCGGAGGAACAGAGGAAGAAAGAGTTTTGGAGTTTTTTTTGTGCTGGAGAGAGATTGTGTTTAAATTGAGGTGAGAATTTTGTCTGGTTTGACATATTATAATTTTTGTTTATTTTGGTTAAAAAAAGCCATCTCTTTTGAACTGGTTTTCTCTTGGTGCTGCTGACTTTTGAAGTTTATGTTGTGTTCATAACTGTTTCTTTCTTTGAAAAACTAGATTTTTTTTAACTTGATCTGTTGATGTTCAAGGCTTTTCCTGTGAAATTCCCTTGTCTCCTTACGAAAACCAAGTTAGATTATTGTAAACTCAAGCTAGATGCCTTTTTTCTTCTTTTTTTTTAATTTTTAATTTTCTTGCAAAAAAGGAAAGCTGCCAGTTGTTCTTTTTGTACAGTTGAATGGGAATTTCCTAATTTCTATGGATGGTTTCGTTTCAATTTACTGCATTTTCTTGGCAACCAAATGGTCCAATTGTATTAGGTCGTTGGTAGGTGAGCAACGAGCTTTCTTCTTTTCCAAATATCATCCCTTTTCCGGTGATATTTAGTTGAAGATGCAACTATTTTCGGCTTAGTTTTTGTATCAATCTCTTTGAATTTCGCAATTAGAATCTAGGTAGCAGATTTTAATTTAGTTGGTTTTTCCCCTCTTCTCTTTTTTGTTTGGGGGAAATAGTTAAGAACTTAAGATAAATATGCTTTCTGGGTCTGAGATGGCCTTTAGTTTTTTTTTTGGGTCACCAATAACAGTGTTGGTTGGAGTGCTATATTCACTGTCATCTGCAGTTTCCATTGTCAAACAAATGACCTTAAATTTCCAACAGATGATGATGAGTAGAGTCTAACGTAGCTAGCAAGTGAGGAGCTTTTCGGCAATATTTTGCTTTTCCAGATTTTCTGGACTCTGAGCTGCAGGATGCCTTTTCAAATCATGGATCCGAGGGACGTTCCTGCCTCATCCCACTTTTTTGATGACATTTCCTTTCGTTCTGAGGTATTTATTATCCTGTCTGTCTCATTTTAGATTTCTGAACTTCTATAACATGACCCCAAGAATTTAATGATCATCAGTTCCATAAAACATTGTATAGTTTTAGACTCGGGGTCTTCTTTTTCAAAATGTTGTTCAACTTCTCTATGACTCAAATACTATTGCCGTTATGACCTGTTGGTTTTCTGAACTTGTCTTGAACTTTTTTTGGGCAGAGGAATGTTGGATTGCAGAAGCCAAAATCCATTCATGACCAATACCCAAAAGGTGAGGACCAATCAGCCCATTATTTGTCCAAAATAGTCCTATATGTTGTACTGGTTTGCTTGCTAATTCCATCATTAATGCCCCAAGTTTTTTAACTAACAAATATTTATGATCGAGACATTTAATGAGCTATTCAAGCTTCAGTTCAGTAATTGACTAGTCACTTTTTTTTGGATCATTTGTCTGTATGTATATCTTTCTGTATACTTTATATGATACCTCACTTTACATTTCCATTTTTTGGACTTTTCGGCCAATATTTCTCTCCATCCTGTTCCAAATTTCTTATAAATGTTTGGGTGCACACGGACTAAATGATTATCAATGTAACTAGCAATTAGCCTTAATGAGTAATTGTCAAATTCTACAAATAATATGTGTTTCCGTTTGTGATGATAAATTGATAATACTTTACTGTTTTGGGACTTTTTAGTCTATGTTCTCCTCACTTTCTGCTTTCAACAATACATAATTCTTTTGTTGCTCCTGATATAATGAGTATTGGTTATCAATGTAGTAAGTACTTTGAAAATGAGTGGTTGATGTAAAGCCAAAAACTAATACTTTTGTTTCAGTTTGTGGTAAATACCTAATTGCTACCATTTTTACTGAAAGTCTGAAATAATACCTTAATAATGCATGATAAGTGTCCACTATGTTCTTGCAACTTTTTAGTTGTGGTATAGTTATTAGCTGGGATAATAATGGTGGTTTCATGAGTATAGATGCTGCAGTTGCACTCTACCGTATTGAAGCTCATATACGTGTTTTTGGTACTGATGTTAGTTGTGATTTCATGGCTTTTTATCATGCTAATTTTGAATGTAGTAATATCCCCCTCAAATTTTGAGTGTGCATCCGTATTTGTGTTTGTTCATGATGCATGTGTATCAATATCTACTTTATTTGCAAAACATGCTACTAATTGCTGGATAAGTAAGTTATGCTATATTCATTTTATCAGGAAAGAATGGAATGGTAGCATCGCCTGGCAACATTCTGAATGCTTCTTCATCCCTTGAAATAAATGCAAAATCTGGCTTGCTGATGTCGCAGACTAGTCTATCTCGGGAAAGTATAGAAAAACTACGTTTTGGTGGAGAAGAAGACAATGTTGATGTTTTGAAGGATTCGAAGGAATCGTTACATTATCATCCCAGATCGTGGTCTGATGTGTGTATGCAGTCAGCACCTACCTCATATGGTTTAATTGGGAACAAGATTGTCACCAATGCTGCCCCTTGTGAAAGTAGTCTATTCTCAAGCTCACTGTCTGAGATTTTTAACCAAAAGTGTAAGAACTTGTTTCATGCATCCTGAGAATGCATGTATAATGGGTATTACAGCATAGTTAAGTGATCAGTATTGATGCCCTTTCATAGTTTCATCTTTCTAATACTTTGGAAACAATATTCTGTTGCATCACTTTGCTTGGGTATCATCATTGGATGTATTAGCTTAAATGTTTGCTTTATTGCTCAATGTAGCAGAAAAAAAGAAGGGCACCTCACCCCAACCCCCACCTCACCCACTCAGAAAAGTTATATTTATTTGTTTAAGATTTTCTGATCTTACTTTAGTTGAATTGATGTCCTTATCTGTGTGTTTATATGCATATCTTGGTGCAGTGAGGTTACCGAGGAATAATGTTCTGTCTGATCGGCCCATTACTGTTGGTTCCCTTCCTGAGGAAGAACCGTATAAATCTCTTGAAGAAATGGAGGCTGACACTATAGGGAATCTCCTTCCTGATGAAGATGATCTGTTTTCTGGTGTTGTTGATGAGTTAGGATATGGTTCTCATGTCAGAACAAATGATGACTTCGAAGATTTTGATCTGTTTAGCAGTGGTGGAGGCATGGAGCTAGAAGGAGATGAACATTTGACTTCAGGCAAAAGTACTAGTGGTCTGGATGGAGATTGTGTTTTCTTGGGAGGTTCTAAAGGAAAACTTCCTTTTGGTGAACAGCCTTCTAGAACACTTTTTGTTAGAAACATTAATAGCAATGTAGAAGACTCTGAGCTGAAGGCTCTCTTTGAGGTGTGTCTTTATTCTTCTTTGCTGCTAGATGTTATTTTGGAATTCTCAGGAAGCATTTCATACCATTAATCATATTATTTAAATGGACTATTATATTTGTTCGGACAGCAATATGGAGATATCCGAACCATTTACACAGCCTGTAAGCATCGTGGGTTTGTTATGATTTCTTATTATGACCTAAGGGCAGCACAAAATGCAATGCAAGCACTTCAAAATAGGCCATTGAGGTCTAGGAAACTTGATATACACTATTCAATTCCAAAGGTATATTCCCAATTACTTGTCTTGTATGCATATTCCATTTCCATTACTGTCATTTGGATTAAGTTGTTTGTGCTATTGCTCTTCTTATCATCTTAGTATTACTGCTATGTGCTTTGCTTTTTCAATTGCTTCATTTTCCTACTGTTTTATGCCTTGCTTATAGACGTATCTTAACTTGCTGACATGTTAGGTCAATGCTCCAGAGAAAGATATCGGCCATGGTACGCTGATGCTATCTGGTCTTGATTCATCTGTTCTAAATGATGAGCTTAAAAAGATTTTTGGATTTTATGGAGAAATTAAAGAAGTAAGTTTTTCATTGTTGGTATTCACCCATTTTAGTTGCTTGTGTTTTATGAAGATAATGCGAGATTCCTTAAATAAATACTATGTCTTTAATTGCAGATCTATGAATATTCAGAAATGAATCATCACAAATTTATAGAGTTTTATGATGTTCGAGCTGCAGAAGCCGCTCTTCGTGCATTGAACAGGATTGACATTTCAGGGAAGCAGATCAAGCTTGAACCTTGCCATCCTAGGTTTGCAACATGGTGGCTATACCCACTTTTATTTTATTTTTTAGATTTGATTTCTTCTCTAATTTGTTGTAGATCTGTTAACTGTTTTCTGCATATTATGTGTGCCTTTCTAAATGATGTTTTGTACATTAATAGCAACATTGATGTAGAACACTTTTTGTGAACATTTTGGATATGCATATTAATTTTTACCTCCTTTAATAGTTTTTTTTTTTTTTAGTGGTTAATGGAATGCAAAGTTGTTATAGATAACCTTGATGGAAAAATAGTTACACTTTCCTTCTAAGATTATTTTCTTCTGTTAACTACCGTGGAAACCTTGCTTTTGTAGTCTGATGCAGCATTCTTATAAGGGGCAAGATGAACGAGATCTTGGTCAAAGTATTATTGACAACTTATCATTAGGACAGAAGGGTAAGACTTTATCTGCCTCATCTTATTTTTTTTCCCAGGAAGCAAATTCTCTTTTTGGTCTCACTAGATATCATTTACAGCAACAGTGTCTTCTGGAGTAATTGGATCTGGCTGCTTGGAAAATGGATATAGTCAGAGATTTCAATCTGGAATGCGGCAACCTTTGAATGCATTTATTGATAATGCATTCTTTCATGTGAATTCTGGCATTCACAACACTGGGATAGGGGCATCTGCTGGAAAAGTGTCTGGCATTTGTGAGTCCAGTAACTTTGTTGATGCAATGAAATTTGCATCTAGTCCGAGCTTTCATCCTCATTCCTTACCTGAGTATCGTGATAGTTTGGCTAATGGTAGTCCTTATAACTTTTCAAGCACCATTAGCAACATGACTAGCAATATAGGTACTCCAGCAACAGAAGCCTCTGATGGCGTGCATATTCAGGGAATGAGCACAACTGGGAACTTAGCAGAATTTAATGTAGGAGGTGAGTGCGTCAGATGTTTATGTGCCAAGAAAGCTTCATGTCTAACATTTCTTTTTGTGCAACAGTTTTGAATAGATAAATTATTACAGCAAATAAATTTTTTTGCTTGAATGGCATCCTAGCAATTTAAAACTTTATAATGATGGGCTTGATTGTTAATGAAGATGCATAAGGTTTTCATTCTTCCCATGAGTTTTTAATAACACCAAAGTTATTTTTTCTTTTTTGGTAATACACAATGTTAATTAGGATTCAAAAGTCAAACTAACGATGTGCATGAATTTAGAGTTGCCTGGCTATTTGTGATTAAGCTTTCTGAATTGAATATGGGTTTTCAAATCAGCTTTTGTACCAACTACTAGGTAATTGAAGATGGGTAATTGTAGGCTGAACATAATTGTAATGTGAATTCAATAGTTTTACATTTGAATCCTGGTATGAATTCCTTGCTTTATTTTGGGTCATCAGGAAATGAGATCCGCCCACATCATGGACTTTATCATATGTGGAACAGCTCCAATTTGCATCAGCAACGGTCATCAAGTACCATGATTTGGCAGAAAGCACCATCCTTTGTTAATGGTGCTTGTGCTCCATGCCTTCCACAGATGCCAAGCTTTGCTAGAACACCGCCTCAAATGCTGAGAACTCCACATATGGACCATCATGTTGGATCAGCACCAGTTGTTACAGCCTCACCCTGGGAGAGGCAACATTCTTACTTGGGAGAGTCCCCCGAGGCTTCTGGTTTTCGGTTGGGTTCTCTAGGAAGTGGAGGTTTTCATGGTTCCTGGCAGTTGCATCCACTGGATTTTTCTTCTCACAACATATTTTCTCATGTTGGCGGGAATGGCACTGAACTGACATCTAATGCTGGGCAGAGCTCTCCTAAGCAGTTGTCACATGTTTTCCCTGGGAGACATCCTATGACTTCAATGTCAAAATTTGATTCTACCAACGAACGAATGAGAAACCTATATCACCGTAGAAGTGAAGCAAACACCAACAATGTTGATAAAAAACAGTATGAACTTGACCTAGGTCGCATATTGCGTGGGGAAGACAGCCGAACTACACTTATGATAAAAAATATTCCCAACAAGTATGTCAATTGTCTCCCTAGCTTTTTGAATCTTTCTGCTGTTTACTGTGTTATCTTTTCATTTTCTGACTACAACTTAATTTTGAACTGGTAAAATTGTTAGTTACCTTAAGGCCATTATTTTTTATAGATAGTTTTAAGATCTGGAATTATTAACATAAATATGTATTTTACATTTAATGGTCTTATCCAGGTTGACAATTGAGCATATGGCTCTTGCCTTTTTCATTTTGAAGCATTAGAACTCTTGATTGCTTTCACTTCGGTGGACACTTATGCATGCCTGTGCACATTTGACATTTTGTTTTTATATTGATCAATCAGTGTTTAGAGGCAGTAAAGAATTCAAACTGCTGTGCACTGGTCTCTTGATTTGACCTATTTGTCTATTTTGTTTGTTATTTTTTGATAGGTATACTTCAAAGATGCTTCTTGCTGCCATTGACGAGCAATGTCGCGGAACTTATGATTTCCTGTATTTACCAATTGACTTCAAGGCAAGTATTTTTGTTTTTTGGTTGGCTGATTCTTTCCTGTTGAGAAGAAATCATAAATATGTTTCTAATTCAATTCTACGATGATTGCAGAATAAATGTAATGTTGGCTATGCTTTCATAAATATGACTGATCCTGGTCAAATTATTCCTTTCCACCAGGTTATTTTGAAGTTCTTACATAACATTAATTTGAGTTATTTATCTATGTGCTATGAATTTTGAGTTTTTCTTTTTCTTTTTTTCTTTTGCTTCTTCATGAATTGATGGAACTAAACAATAAGAACTTGTGCAGGCTTTTAATGGGAAAAAATGGGAGAAGTTTAACAGTGAAAAGGTAGCCTCACTTGCATATGCCCGGATTCAAGGAAAGACTTCTCTTGTTGCTCATTTCCAGAATTCAAGCCTGATGAATGAAGATAAACGTTGCCGCCCTATTCTCTTCCATACGGATGGCCCAAATGCTGGTGATCCGGTAAACATGCTTGTTCTTTAGCTGAACTTGTTTTCCAGTTGCTAACTTCAGTTTATATCAGAGCTACTGCATTACCTCTATGCTTCCCTGTTACGAACCCAGAAATGGGTCTGAGTTTTCAGAGTTAAAGATGGGTAAAACATGTTATCAAAAAAAAAAAAAAAAAAGATGGGTAAAACAGAGAGAGAAAAGGAAAAAAAAATATTTCTGGTGGTGTTTTTTGAACAAAAAAGGATAGTAATCTTCTCCAAGGATAGTGTTTATGGGAACTTGTTGCGCTGGTAGAAGTAAAATGCAAATCACATGACAGGCTTCTCTTTTACCCCAATAAAATGTTTGCTTTCTCATTTACATGCCAAATCTTTTCACCTTTAAACTAGCTCCCGACATTTAATGTTAACACACTAGGTACCTATATTTTTAATTCATGAGTGGTAGTATTTCATATACAACAGAGAGGACATTTGATATAGTTAGATAGGCTTAAACTAATTCCAAAGTATAGTGGTAATAATTCCTGCTAGAAACAGCTTCTTGTGGGAATAATCTTTAGATGATTATGTCTTGCACGTAACAACTAAAGCGTACTTGAGCTTGTTTTGATGGCAATAAGATGCAATCCGTTTCGGCTGTTTAAACCTTTTCTTGCATGATGTGCACCTGTACAGATTGTGCTTTCCATTAAAATGCCATGGTTCCAACTAGAGGGGGATAACAGAAATTTCATTTTGATATCTAGTTCTTTTGGTGATATCCTATCCTTACCCCTGGGACAAAATTGACCTATTTTTTTCTCCACAGGAGCCTTTCCCCTTGGGTGCCAATATTAGATTGAAACCTGGAAAATCTCGTACTTCTGGCAATGAAGAGAATCGCAGCCAAGGGAGTCCTTCAACATTGGGTGGAGAAGAGTCTGCTAATGGAATAGACTCTTCATTGAGCACTTAAAGAAACTCTGATTGATTTAGCATGGGGCACTAACTATTCAATGTTGCACCATAATGTCATATCAACCCCCCAAGTCTGTATATTGACATTTTGTTTTTTATTTGAGAGCCGGGAGGAAAAGTGGCTCACAATTTTTTGCCTATAGAGGAGCCTTACACAAGTTTTCAGAGGCTAAGAAGGTACATAACCGTCACTGATTTGTAGTATTTTCTTTATTTTGCTAAATTTTTACACGGAGTCCTGCTACCAACTCAAGTTTAGAGAATGGCTTAACTGAAGCTCAAAATTTTGGCTAGCTGTGAACGGATGATGTCATAATTTGCATAAGTTCTCGTCATTGTGGGGTGCAAGGGGACTTTGCTGATTTAGTTTTTCATTATTGTTGTCTTCTTGTTCATATGTAATTTTGTTTTGTTTTTTTAGTTCCGGGACTTTCGTTTTTAGAAGTGACTATGATCCGTTTTTGTATGTAGAAGTGACTCTTGTTAGAAAAGAGATTTAATTGCAGCATTTTAGTAATACGTTACTTTTTTTTTTTTTTTTTGGTTGAAAGTTTTACGTTGCTTTACTATTTCAGATATTGCTATTTCTCTTGCAATCTCTGAATTCTTACGGAGTTACGACCAAATCTATTACGCTTACGAGATCTATTTGTCTCTCAGCTGTAAATAGTGCAAACTGTTGTTTTCTAGAACATGTTTTGGTTCAAGCATAAAAAGTTGATTAGTTTTTATACTAAAAATAGCTGCTTCTTCTTTTTTAGTTATTGTTTGAGTGTTCTTATTATCATTTTTACATTATTTTAAATGCTTTTGGGGGTAACTATGCCTATATCCTGAATTATTATGGGTATATATGACAAATATTCTGTTTTGTGATCTTGTTTATGAAGAAAAATACTTTTTTTTTATTTGTACTAAAAAAAATACTTTTTTTTTTCTTCCTATTCTGGTGTTTGGAAACGAAGAATAATTTTTTTTTTTATGATTTTTTATCAAATACAATTTTTTAAAAATAAATTGTTTTTATTAAAATTAATTTTTAACCATTTTTGTCCAAAATTAAAAAAAAGAGTAAAAGATATTTTTTGATAATTTTATCGTGGGCACCTTATCCGTAATTTAAAGTTTAAATAGTTTTGTAAAATGTTTAAGAGAGCGTTTAGTAGAGGAGAAATTTTTTTTTAGTCGGAAATTTTAATTTTTAAAAATATAATTTTTATATTCAGTTTATGATAATATTCGTAAATTTCAAACTTAGAAAAATTCGATTTTTGGAAAATCTTGAAGAATCCGCGTATCAAAATGCTCCCTAAGAAATTCTTACAAAGTGAGAGGAAGAACTCAATTTTTTTTTTTGATACAGAACTCAGTTTTCATTTCTGCAAAAGTGAGTAAATTATGGGATAATATCTTCTACTTATTTTTTGGGTTTAATGTGTCTCCTTTTAAAGGAGGTAAGCTGTGCATCTTTTTAGTTTTTTATTCTATGTACTCCTGGTAGTAGTATATAGTTATAATATGAAAAAAATTTATTTTATTTTTTATTTTTTACGTTACCTGATGTGACTGAGGAGAAAAAAAGAAGTATTATTTCATGTTATAACTATGTATTATCGGGAGTACATAGAGTAAAAAAATTAAAAGGACACAACTTACATTTTTGGAAAAACTTCAAAAACACCCCTGTAACTTTACTCATAATTATTTACTCTTTTTTCAAAATTTTGAATCATTTACCCTGACTTAAAGTTTTTTTATCATTTAGCCTACTAAGTGAGGAAGGTAATGATAAAAAAAATATAAGTCAGGGGATAAGTGATAAAAAAAACTAAACAAGGGTGTAAATGATTCAAAAAATTTGTGAGGGGGTAAGTGATAATTAAGAAAACTCATAGGGTTTTTTTTTGAAGTTTTTCCTATATTTTTTTAAAGCACAAATAGGTTTCCCTATCTTTTTTCATATCTACCATACATATTATTTTCTAACACTTTTAGATCAGAATTTCAACTAACTTTTACCATTTTTCTCTCCTCTTAATATTATGACCTAATGCTGTTGGAGAGTGGTAGATAAGATAGGCATAAGAAAAAAGGTAGAATAACTTATCCCGTAAATTATATATTGAAGTTCCTATTTAAATTGAGATATGTTATTCTACTTATCTTTTTTTATGCCTACTTTATCTATTACTCTCGTATATCGTTACATCAGAATTTCCAGAGGAGAAAAAAATGATAAAAGACTAATAGAGATTTTGATATAATAATATTAAAGAATGGTAGGTAAGGTAAATATAAAAGAAATTGTGGAATAAACTATACATGGAGTTCACATAATAACACCACGTGCTAGTAAGTAAACTAATAAACTTGTTAACAAGCAAACCTTTGGTGCTGTTGATGCACCATGCATCGGTCCCAAAAAAGCAAAAAAGTTGAGCTAGAGATGGATTAAAAATAAAAATGTGGGTTTAAAAAAATTAGTTTTTCTAAAAAAAAGATGTACCCAAGTGGGTACATCCCATGTATAGAAGAAAATTCTGAAATATATACCGAAGCACAAGAGAAATATTAAAAAAAATTAAGAAAAAAACCCGACTAGTAATAAGGGAATAATTGTATATAAAATACTTTTATCAAAAGAAAATTATTATAATGAAGCAACAAAGAAAATGAATTTTGGAGCATAGAAAGAAATATCTAATTAAAATTAACTTAATAGTTTAAAGTTGTTCATTAAATATATGAATATGTTTTTTTATCTACTTTTCGGATATAATTACGGTTAAAAAGCACATATTTTTACTTAGGCAAAAAAACCTTCATTTAATAAAATTTGTTAAATATAAGTGCGGTTAAAAATATATATTATCTTGCTTTTTTTGTCCAGAGATAAAGTTATCTCACAAGAACTCAGGAGTATTCTGAAAAGGAATTATTGTATGCAGCCACATCAGCATTAAAGACCCTTTTAGTGTACATGATAAAAAGAATATGATAGGATAATTTATTTTATAATTTATTTTATTCTTTGTTTGGTGAGCCTAAAAGATAAGATAAGCTCATCAAGTTGAGTTATTTTATCATGTCCAAAACTTGATAACTTATTCGGAGAGGGGCTTGGGTTAGAAACCAATAAAATATAATAGTAAAATTTATTTTTTTTATTTCTCAACTCATCCCTAGAAAATGAAAGCTTTCTTTTGTAAGCCAAACTCTTTCTCATCCATCTTGTTCGATTTTCTTGCCCGTTTCATATTAAATCTTAAATTTTTCAGCACTTTTAACTCTAACAAATAAAAAATAGAAAACACAGATTTGCAATCGAATCAGGGGAAGTCGCGTTCAATAATCCTAATTGACGAACAATGGAAGCAAATATGAAAAAAACCCTAGTGAATTTTTTCTTTTCCCTTTAGGCTTCTGGTTCTCATTCTCACTTCTTAAAAAAACACATTATCATTAATGATTTTACAAATTTTTTTATGAAGGATATTATAGACTTATAGTCCATTTATATCATATCCTAATAATATCTTCTTCACTTCAAACACATGATATAATAACATAATATAATCCTATCATACTAATATTTCAGTGCATATTAAATACAAGATATGATATATACTTATCCAATTTATATCTTTTTTTATCATTACATATCAAATACAAGATATAATATATGATTATCCGATCTATATCCTTTCTTATCATTATTCATTAATTTATATTATGAAATTGGTTCGCTGTTAGTATAAGGTTACTCTTTTAATTTATATGGTTTATACTTTTTCACAGTGCCGTTAGTTTTGTTTTCTTAATTTTAATTATGGGTAAAGGATTTATCCCGTCAATAGAGATAAGTTATTTCCGGTGAGACCAAATGACGTCAATTTGAGACGAAAATCAAAGTGTTTTTATAATTATAATATATTGGAGGGTTATTTTAATCTTTACCATTATAATTTTTTAATCTTATAATCTACAAACGATATCGTTTTGAATTCACTGAAGAAAATTTTATCTCCAATAACCGGAGAAATACTTTCCCCCTTAATTATTCATTTGAACTAAAATTTTAAATTGTTATTCATGTTTTTATTATTTATTCTTTTAATCTGTAATTTGTAAAATAATATCAGCTAACTTAACTATATTAAGGATAAGGGGGAAAAAGATGAAAATAAATTACAATGTAAATAAATATAGGACAGTTCTTTTTCATTGACTTAAGTACTTTACGGAGTGAAATGCAGAGAAATTCTTATAATATTTATTTTTTTAAATTTATATATATAAATGACAATTGATATTATTTTATGAACTTAAAAAGATGAAAATAAATATAAGGACCAATGTTATTAAACCCGACTCGATTATTGATCCAGTTGAGGTACTGGATCACTGGTTCAATCGCGCGCATGACCCGATAAGTATATATAAATCTTTCATATAAATATACTTAAATACCGATAAAAAATGATACCATGCATTTTCAAATATTTTAATATGAAAAATAACAAATTACACATCATTGTCCAACAAAAGATCAATCAAACATATAATACTTGTGATACTTGTAACACCCCGTTCTAGAACCGGATTGTTATCATTACGTACGACATTAAGCGCAGTTACAATCACATTGGTTCAATTAGAAATCTGGATAAATTTTTCCTTTTTAAACAAGCCGGATTTAAAATAACCAAGTGCGTGATCATAACCATATATGCTTCGCGGAATAGTGGGACTAAACTTAATATTATATTCCCATTTTATTTGACAATATGTCGTTAAATGTCTTCATCTCTTTAATTATCAAATTAATTCTACACTCCTTTTGTGATTCTCATCTTCTACTATGTTATAGGATTTTTCATTAGCTACGCGTGGGTTCAAACCGCGCTCAAATCGGAGCACCGTAGCCAAGTTATGCATTTTCTAAGAAAAAGGATGCAAAAGCTCCGGGACCCCACGCCCATAGCGTGGGCAAACAGAAAGTTGGCGCCCCCAGCGTGGGAGTGGCGCCCCAAGCGTGGATGCTACTGTCTCGACTGGCCAATTGGCGCCCTCAGCGTGGGTTTTGGCGCCCCAAGCGCCACCCACAGGGCTGGATGCCCAAAAAAAATGATTTGATCTATCTATGATGTTTACCCCATAACTTGAGCTACACTCACTCAAATTACACCATTTTGGTCTCTATGGAAAGCTAAGAGAAATGTCTACAACTTCCATAGACATCAAGGTCCAATTCCATCATATAGGGTATGAAAATTGGTCAACCAGACAAGATATCTTTGTTTTTACATGGATTATCAACCTAATTGACAACATATAAATTTCCAATAAATAATTCTTAGTTCTTGCAAGATACTTTCACTCCAAAATAACATGCATACATATGTCTTCTTCACTTACAATATTACAACACATCTTAATTACAGAATAATGAGACTTAGCTTCAAAATACTATGATCATCACCTTAGTTCCCAACAACAAAGAGATACCACAAGAAA